GCTGCACTGAAGAAAATCTAATTACATGCAGCGAGTGGGTTCATTTACTCATTGTCACAGTCAGTTATTCGTTTTGGATTAAGGAAGCAATCGCTCCTGAAAGGTTTTCCAATGGCCCCGCACTTCTGCCAATCAGGCGAACTCCTAAAAGCGACTTCTAGAGTTTTCAATCCTCAGAGTTAAATATACATCAGCTATTTGGCAGCGAAGTGACTCAATATTGTCAGTATCTTGGACTCCTGAGAAGGTTTCAAAATAATCGCAGCTGTGATCGCTCTATCAGACGAAGGAGAAGCCCACGATCGGGTATGTTTCGAATTACCCTGTACTGAAGCTTCTCATGCCTCGTCACAGTAATTCTTCCAAGAATCTTCATTTCTGTTTGTATGTTGGATTCCTCTTTGTCGATCAATATTCAGCGCTCAGAATTATATGTGAAGGTAGATGCGTATAGCGATAGCTTTCCACTACTACTTAGGTCCTTCGTAATCCCCAATACGACAATCGCCTGGATAATCCATGTGTCTGACTCAACGTGTTGCCTGCCATAAGCGATTAATGCTACCACGAGGTGCCAGAAATTCTTTATCTGTCTTAATTGCACGCTGATAGCCCACCTACCTCGGCGTTGCGGCCGATTTTAACCTCCAAAGGTCCTCTTGGTCCTCTTCAGGCAAATTAAATTTTCTTCCGTTCCCTTGCTTTGGGAAGAAGCTTAGAAAGAAGCAAACTAAATCGTTTGCAAATATAGTGATATCTGTGAACTAAAACTGTATAACAATGCTTCCATTCTAAAGACGCAAGTGAGTTATGTTCGTGTCAGGAAGTTTACCTCGCTGTCTAGCGGTCGAAAATTCGACTTGATGACTCTTACTTATTTTTGAAGCAATTTTTCAGACACTGTGGCGTGTGATCATCAATTTACTGAGGTAGGGAAAGTTCATGTTTGCTGGTTGAATAAGATCGCTAAAGAACCCCGCTCATTAGTGTGGATACAAGGAAAATACTATTGCGGATTAAATGACAAATAAATAACAGCAGAAGTAAGATACACAAGTGAGACCATGTGCACAAATATCAATAGATCTGCATTTCGCTTCCTGTTGCATTATGTATGTTTCGTCCATACCGGTACAGATCGAAATTAATTCGCGGTTCATTCATACCGGTATGGTGCTTCAGTCCAGGTCTATAATGCATCGTTTTTTCTGGATTATTTCCTAGTCTACCCATGTGTTTAAGCCTCAACGTTGTTACATTTATATTTAAGTTTGCGCCGAGGTTTCAAAAAAAATTCTGTTAAAACAACATATTACCAGTCTGGATTGAAAAACAAATTGATTCCAGTTCATA